GGACAGTGGCAAGCAGAATGCTTTCACTTCTCTTTCCCCAGATACCAGCTCTGACACCTCCAATTTCTACTGCAATCACAGTGTTTTCTGAGTCAAGCAGGGTATAAGGAAAATCGCTCTTTCCCTGGAATAATTTTTCATCTTGTTATTTCCATTAGCTGACTCTGTTTGAGCCTGTTCCACGCTGCACTGTTTGAATTCCCAGCTTGGAAATCCCTGGGCTGGGCGGGAAATACTGCTTCCCTCCTAGGAGCGGATGAGGGAGGTACTGCCAGCAGATGGGGGGCAGGGAAAGGAACACAGTGGGGAGGGGGGCTGATAAAAACCAGGGCAGGAAGGAGGGGGCATTTTTGTTTCTTCTGACTCCAGAGGAGGGTGTGTGGTGGAGTTCCACAGGGCTCTGCTGGGCTGATGGGTGTGGACGGCAGAGGCCTGCTGGGACCCAGAGCCAGGGGGCCCAAGGAAGGCAAAGCCCTTGGCAGGAAGCGGGGTGGTTCCAGAAAACTAGAGGGCTCTAGACCCATGCCCCGGACCAGGGCACAGAGTAAGGCTGCTCGAGGATGCTGAGTTCAGTTTTCGACAAGTGGAGAATCCTCAGGGCACCACGTAGATGAGCACGAGCTTCAGAGTAGGGGGCTGGGCTTCGAATCCTCGCTCTGCCACGTGCTAGCTGTGTTATCTCGTGCAAGTGGCTTTACCTTTCCCAGCCTCGGTTTCCTCATCTGAGAAGTGGGAGGAATATGTCTGCCTCCCACTGTCGTCAGGACTAATGGGGGTGAAGTGTGTGAGGGGCTTAGTCTAGCATCCAGTGTGGCCCGTGGGACCCAGATGTCAGCTGTTTACGGTGAGCAACCCTTCCCAGTGTGCCTGGGACCTTTCCAGGCTTTGACACCGAAAGTCCTGCATCCTGGGAAATCCCTTAGGTGTGGGGACACTGGGACGGGCGGTCATCCCGGCTGCGGTCTCCATGCTCCTCAGATCCAGCGGCGGAGCCTTCAAAGTCCACTTAGGTGCTCTGGGAAAGGCTGAAGCCTTTGCTAAGGTTTCTGCAAAACCTGGGGTGTTTGCATCACCTCTGGCTCAGGGGTTTTGCTTTGGCCGGGTTGACTCCATATTGCGGACTGGATATCATTTCCATACTAAGATTCTGAACCACAGAGATTCAGACGTGAAATTCAGTCCCTTCTTCCCCCAAATCCATTTCCACAAGGTACGTGGGTGTGCAGGTGACACTGTGAATGTTTCAGGTGGGGTGGGAGTGGCTTATATCACTGCAGAGCAAACAGCATCACAGGGAACAAGACAGGCCAGTCCTTCGGCCCCCTTGGGGGCGTGTGGCCATGTGGGGGGGCAGGGGTGACTTCACTCAGGGATCCCCAGCCTCACCCTCTCTCTCTGGCATCGCTCTCTGACCTCTCTTCCTTCCTCTAAATTTCTGTTCGTTTCTATCTCTTCTGGGGCCTTGGGCCCCGGTTAGACTATGTTCTCAGGATCATCCACAATCAGCCTTAAAAAGTATTTTCCGGGCTTCCCTGGTGGCGCAGTGGTTGGGAGTCCGCCTGCCGATGCAGGGGACACGGGTTCGTGCCCCGGTCTGGGAGGATCCCACATGCCGCGGAGCGGCCGGGCCCGTGAGCCACGGCCGCTGAGCCTGCGCGTCCGGAGCCTGTGCTCCGCAACGGAAGAGGCCACAACAGTGAGAGGCCCACGTACCGCAAAAAAAAAAAAAAGTATTTTCCTAAACAAAGACAGTTCCTTCCCCAAGAATGGTGGCGCCAACCATTCAGATAACAGCAGGTTGTTGCACATGAACTGTGTTGAATGATGTGTTTAGACTGGGAAGGACCTCAGAGTGGGGAAAGGCCGCACTGCGGATCTGTTCCCGGCTGTGCAGGGCTCCCTTCCCTGGCTCTTTCAGAGACAAGGCTCCTGGGCTCCCACCGATTTCCCTCCTGGCGCTCCAGCCCCTGTAGCGGAGCTGCTACCATTGAGGGAGCCCTCCTTCCCAGGTGACACCTGCCCCAGGCTGGCTCTCACCCCGGAGCTACAAAGTCACCACCTTCAGGGCCAGAAGACCCTGGAGCACAGCTGGTTCAACCTTTTATTTAATGGGGAAACCGAGGCTCCTGCTGGCAAAGGCAACCTGTCTGCACCCACACGCTCTGGAGGCAGCAGTGTCAGGACAGTGAGGAGAGGGGTGCAGCCAGATGGGCAGCCGGACTTGCTCCTGCCACACCCCAGGCAGCAGCTGCTTTGGGGCCTGGAGGCCTGGCGCCCGGGCAGGGTACTAATGGAGGCTCCAAAGGCCGGGTCCTCAGCAGCCCGGGTTTGTCTCAACATCGGCTCTTCCCTGGGAGCCTAGCAGCTGCTTGGAATTGAGTGAGCCCCAGGCAGGGGACCCCACAGCTTGTGGAAAGTGTAGGCTCCTGATCTGCTGGCCTTTCCCTAGGGATGGAGAACAGACGGGCCCTGGACTTGGGAGTGTTTCTATCCATCCATCCATCCGTCCTCCCTCAGGACAGCAGTCCATCCTTCTGTCCATCCTCTCTTGTCTTTCAGTACACTGGTCCACACACAATAATCATTCACTTATCTTTCCATCCATCTGCCCAACACTCCACCCATCCACCCCTCCCTCCCTCCCTCCATCCTTCTCTTCCTCCCTCCCTCCCCCTTCCTCCCTCCATCCTTCCCTTCCTCTCTCCCTGCCTCCCTCCCTCCCTCCATCCTTCCCTTCCTCCCCTGTCCCACCCTCTCTCCCCCTCCCTCCCTCCATCCTTCCCTTCCTCTCTCCCTGCCTCCCTCCGTCCCTCCATCCTTCCCTTCCTCCCTCGCTCCCACCCTCTCTCCCCCTTCCTCCCTCCATCCTTCCCTTCCTCTCTCCCTGCCTCCCTCCCTCCACCCTGTCCGCCCACTTATCCACCTCCCTCCCCGTTTACCCATCTCTCCACCCAGCAATATTTCTTGACAGCTAACAAGGGACTCAAAGATGCAGAAGACATGACCCTGCCTTTAAGGAGATGGGGGTGGGGGTAGGGGTGGGGGGACGGACTCTAGGGAACCCAGCTCAGCTGCAACTCATCTAGAGGCAGCGCCCAGGCGGCAGGCATGCAGGGTGCTGATCCGAGCAGGCTCTGCCTCGGGCAGGGGGCAGGGATGACAAGCCCAGCTTCAGGTTCCCTCTTCCCCTGGGCAGAGGGGTGGAGAAGCTGCTCAGCAGGTCCAGTCAGATTGAAAATGTCCCCAAAGAGTGTCTGCTGAGAGGCAGGGGGTGAGCACGCTGAATTATTTCTCCAGTAATTGGCACTGAAGCAGCTGCAGACATCCTGCGGTCTGCATCAAAGAGCTCAGAGCTTGGCCTGTCTCGGTGAGGCCTTGGGGGCAGTTTGTCCAGGTCTCCCAGGGTTCTTCCAGCTCCCACCGCCTCTCCCCTCCCCATCTCCTGGTACTGACGAGCCGCCAGGCTCTCCCTGGCTTTCTGTACAAGGCAACCTGGGGGGCGGGGCTGGGCGCATGCAGGTCGGACCCCTGGTCAGCTGCCGGTGAAGGGACGGGGACGAGGACACTAGAGCACCGAGGCCCTTCACTGCAGGGGACAGCCTTGCGGGGGGCTCTGCCAGTGTGTGTCTGGGCAAGGCCAGTGCCAGGTTTTCCTTTAGTCTCATCCCTCCCGTGTGCAGAAGAGCCTTTGCTGGCCCTGCAGATGAGCAATTTGAACCGACTTGTCACACGTTTTGTAAACGGTCGGATCTTTCTGTGTGTGTGTGCGTGTGCGTGCGCGTGCTGTCCATCTCCCCTGGCAAGGGCCCCTCCCAGTGCATTTCTGGCTGGTGCCTGGGCCACCTCTCCCACTGCGGGGCTCTCCACCTGGTCTCCTTATGCCGGAGGCTTCTCTCCCTCCCTGGGGGCAGAGCACAGGGCTGGGGCGGCCTGGGGTGGAGGATCCAGACAGCTTGGTCAGTTTCCAGAGGCTTCCTTCCTGCTGCAGAACCACATAGAGAGATCAGGTCAAAGGGAGCCCCTCTGTTGGCAGTAGGGGTGGGGATGGGTCCCACCCCTGCCCCTGGGACTTCCCATCTCTCCACCCCCTTCCAAGGGACCTCTGGAGAACAAAATTAGAAAACTATTTAGTCCAGTTGTCTCATCTCATAGATGGGCTGGCAGCAGGGCCAGACAACCGATGTCCCCAGGCCGCCCCTCAGCAGACCGTGTGAGGATCCTCCCCGTCAGGCCCTGACTGTGGGTCTGGGTCTGCACACAGAAAGAACAGCCAGGCCGGCCAGGACCAGCTACATAATTTGTGGGGCCCAGTGCAAAATGAAAACGTGGGGCCCCCTGTTCAACGTGACTGAGAATTTCGAGACAGTGACAGCAGAGCCTGAAACTGAGTGTGAGGCCCTGTGTGACCGTACAGGTTGTGCATGTGCCCGTGAGGCCAGCACTGAGGCCAGTCAGGCTCCAGCCATCGAGGGAGCTGCTGAGGTCCCTGGGTGACTGCTGTTCCCCATGCCATGAGCCACAGGGGGCAGAGAGATGCAGGACAGCATCCTGCATTAGAAGGAAAGGCAGAGCCTCGTGCGCTGCTGGTGGGAATAGAAAATGGTGCCGCTGCCGTGGAAAACAGTGGCGATTCCTTAAAAAGTTAAGTGTAGAACTACCACCTAATCTAGCAATGCCACGTAATCCAGCAATACACCCAAAAGAATTAAAAGCAGGGTCTCGAACAGATACTAGTGTATCAATGTTCATAACAGTCTTACAATAGCCAAAAGGTGGAAAAAACACAAATGACCATCAACAGATGAATGGAGAAACCACGTGATCTACCCAGTGGAATATTATTCAGCCATAAGATGGAATGAAATTCTGACACAGGCTACAACATGGATGGACCTTGAGAACACTAAGCTAAGGGAAATAAGTCAGACACAAAAGAACAAACACTGTATGAGTCCACTTACATGAGGTACCTAGAGTAGTTAAGTTATAGAGACAGAAAGTAGAGCGGGCGTGCCTGGGGGTGGGGAGGGAGGAATGGGGAGTTAGTGTTTAACGGGCACAGGGTTCACTCCGGGACGATGAGAATGCTCTGGGGATGATGGTGGTCATGGCTGCACGACAAAGTGAATGGATTTAATGTCACTGAGCCGTACACTTAAAAATGGTTAAAACGTATGTTACGTGTATTTTACCCCAATAAAAAAAATAAAGAGAATAAAGGAAAGAGGGGCAGGTGGCGTGGGAAGACAAGACAGTTGTGGAGGTTTGACAGCTGAGATGGGTTGGGGGCTGTGGGATTGCAGCTCCCAGTCCTGGAGTTCAGGGGTCATGTTCAGGTGCGGCTCCCACAGCCCTGGGAGGAGCTGCGGGTCAGTCCAGAGACAGGCTCTGGCTCCAAAGGTGCTGAGAGGCTCTTTGATTGATGGAAGCTCCTGGAAACCCTCTAAGGCAAATCCTCCTGCTCATACAGGCCTGAAAAGACAACTGCTTCCCTGAGGCTACCCTGGGTCTCCCGATAAGGGAGGACTCAGGAGAGCATGGCGTGTGCTCAGCCTCCTGGGCATGAGACAGCGTCCAACATGGGGGCAAAATCTCTGTGTAGCGACTGAACTTTATTCTCATGTGTTAATTGGCAGAAGGAAAATACCCAGTGGGACAAGGGGCTGACTTTATCCTACTCATCTAGACATTATGATCTGTGTCTTTCTCTGCCTGCACATACCTCCATCGCCGCACTGAATCCTGATTTGTTCTCACCAGACCGCCCCCCCTGCTCAACCCAGCATGGTCTTTGGCATCTGACTGCTCTGCATTCAAATACAGGCACTCTTGACCTCCCTGGGCCTCAGTTTCCTCTTCTGTAAAATGGGCACATTAGAAGTATCTGCTGCACAGGTGGGTGAGGAGCCCTAAAGCATGCAGCAGGTGCCTGACTCAACAGATGTTGGCCGTGACGATTATTACACAGCAAAATGCTTCATCTCTCCCGGGCCCTGGCTCAGTGGAATTGAGGGCTCTGTTTGTTGTCAGCAAACAAAGTGGCGTGAGGAGGCGGGAGCTGTGAGGGAAGCGAGGGAGGGCACCGCCTGGGGTCCTTGATGGGCCTCCAGCCGGGCAGCTCTCCTCTCCACTGCCTGCTGCTCCCCGGCTCGGCACTCGGGGAGAACACGTCAGAGACAGTTCACCGGAAAGGCAGGAACAGGAAGAGATAGAGATTTCAGGCTTCTGGGAACCTAGGGATGTGATGCCAGAAAGTGGGCGTTTTCTCCTTCGGGAAAGGTGCCAGCCCCCTTCTTTGTGGGTGGAAGTGACTCTCACCTGCTGGGCCTGTGGACGCTCTTTGCTTCAGGGCTAAGGAACAGCCGGGGGCGGGGCCTCTGTCCAGGGGTGGCGTGTGGCAGCAGCACTCGGTCCCAGGCTTGTCTCCTCGTCCAGTGGGGCGCTGTGTTTTCTCCGCCAGCCCGGTCCTCATCACCCGCCCGCCGCTCCCCTGCCTGGGTCGGTCTAGGGGTGTCAGTCCAGGGAGACACAGGTAAACTGGTTCCACTAGATCCATGGGTCTTCAAAGTTGTTCTCCTGCACTTCCCTGGTGGTGCAGTGGTCAAGAATCCGTCTGCCAGTGCAGGGGACACGGGTTTGAGCCCTGGTCCGGGAAGATCCCACATGCTGCGGAGCAACTAAGCCCGTGTGCTACAACTACTGAGCCTGTGCTCTAGAGCCCGCGAGCCACAACTACTGAGCTCATGTGCTGCAACTACTGAGGCCCGCTCGTCTAGAGCCTGTGATCCGCAATAAGAGAAGCCACCGCTCAATGCAACTAGAGGAAGCCCGCATGCAGCAACGAAGACCCAACGCAACCAAAGAAATTAAAATAATAATAATAATAATCTGCCTGCCAATGCAGGGGACATGGATTCAATCCCTGGTCTGGGAAGATCCCACGTGTTGCGAAGCAACTAAGCCCGTGAGCCGCAACTACTGAGCCTGCGTGCCACAACTACTGAAGCCCGTGCGCCTAGAGCCCGTGCTCTGCAACAAGAGAAGCCACCGCAATGAGAAGCCCACACACCACAACAAAGAGTAGCTCCCGCTCGCTGCAACTAGAGAAAGCCCGCGCACAGCAACGAAGACCCAATGCAGCCAAAAAAAAACAAAAAAGTTGGTCTCCCGATGGGGAGCATCAGCATCGCCTGGGAACTTGAAATGCATGTTCTCAGCCCCCCCCTGGACCTCTGAGCCAGAAGCTCTGGGGTGAGGCCCAGTGACCTGTGTCTGAACAAGCCCACCGGGTGACTTCGATGCTGCAGAAGGGTGGGGGCCACTACGGAACCTCAGCCTCTAGCACTGCACTTGACACTTCAGCAGCTGCCCAGTCAACACTGGATAGATGAACCATTATTCCCCGAGGGGAAGCGCATGACCATCTGCTGTGTCCCAGGCTCCATGCAGCCACTGCACTTACCTACTTACGTCATCTAAACAACTCTTGAGGCAAGGGCCACGTCTGAATCCTATGGGAGTCATGACTAATAGCAGTGGTAGGAGTTTTACAGGTGCTTTCGAGTTTTTAATTTCCACAACAATCCTGTGAAGGAAGTATTATCCCCATTTTACAGATGAGGAAGCTGAGACAGAGAAGTACCCATCATTTCAGGTGCTAAGTAGTAGAGCTGGGATTCAAAATCAGGTATCCAAAGTTCATGTGGTCTCTTTTAGGGACTACTTGGGTTATCCAACATGTGGGACAGATCAAGTCGTTTCTGCACTCCATGATTTTTACAGATGACACAGAACATCCTCCATTCCTAACTGCGAGAGTCTCAGGTTCAAAAGTTAATTGGTAAGTTGGATGCTTGAGACTCAGAAAGCAAGGATTTCTTGGTTCCCAGCACCGCCATCAAGAACCCTTGACTCCTGGCAGCTCCCAGACCCTGGTGGGGGTATCTGCATCCCATCTGTGCCCTAACGCTGAAGGCTTCCGGGGTTAACACATGATGAAACTGCTTCAGAGCCCCATCAACCCTGGGACACATCTCTAGGAAACACACTTGGAATTCCCCCTGGAGGCTGTAAGGATTGGGTCCTTCTCCTAAACTAGGTCTGGTCCAGGCACGGGGTTCTAGTGGGAGCTGAGTGTGGTGGTTTGTGCTACATCAGGTCTGAGGAGTCTAAAGGGGGTGTCGGTCCCAGCACAGAGGTTCCCGAGAGCCGGGAGGCAGAGGCAACAGCCCCTTACAGGCTGGGCATTTGGATACAGGGACCTCTGGAGCTGCATTTTCTCTGCCAGGCAGGTCCTCATCGCCTCTTTATCTTACTTTCCTGCTATGGCTCCGGGGCTCTCACCCACATCCCACGAGTTTATCCTGTTGGATACATATTTTTCCACAAAAAATTCCATTGTTAGAAATATAATTTGGTACAAAGTTAAAAACTGTACTATAAAGTTTATAACATAGGGCAGCAATCTCCTGCCCCCCCCATCCCCAACCCAAGTCCCTCTCTAGGCAACACTTAGAACTCAGCCATGTCTGCTGGTGTTTACCTTTGTACTGAAATCTCATGCTGATTCTACTTCTTGATTTTTCAGTTTTATATATTATATGTCATGATATAGAATATCATGATATCATATTCAATCTCTCCAACACAGGTATGCTTCTTATCCTGTTTGTACATCCTTGGGTATCTCTCCTGCCCTCATGCTCCAATCTGGGCTGGCTGGCCTTGGCCTCTAGCCCACACACACAGCCACTGCCAACATCCTGGGGACTGTCTTTGCCCCTCTCCTCTGTTGGATCCTCAGTTTCCTGTGTTCCTGTGTCCTGGTTTTCTCCCTTGTTTGGCTGGAGCACATCCTGTAGTAGCTGCCTGAGAAAGAATGTATGGGAGGTAAATTAAAACAAAACAAAACAAAACTTCACAAGTCTGAAAATATCTTCATTCTACTGTCACTAAGATCTGGGTGGATATAAACCCAGATTAGAAATTATTTCCTGCCAGAATTTGGAAGATACTTCTTCACTGTGTTCTGGCTTCAAAATTTGCTTTGAGAATTTCAAAGCCATGTTAACCCCCGACCCTTGGTATATGACATGTTTCAAAAAATTTTGTTCTCTTTGGAAGGTCTTAGGATTTTTTTTCTTTAGGATTTTTATCCTGGTGTCCTGAAATTTCATGATAAGCCTTGCTATAGTTCCCTAAATTTTTATTCTGAAAGATTTCAGACATATAAAAATAATTCAAATATGACATATAATGAAATATTATAAATATTACAAACCCATCTATCCATCGCTGAGATTAATGAAACATTATCAGTAAAGTTGAAACTGTTCCTTGTGCCTCTTCTTCTCAAGATGTATCTTGAAAGCTGTTGTTTATCCTTCCTATGCATTTCTTTATTCTTCCACTGCATAAAATATATGTTAATATATAACATTTTTGCATGTTTTAAAATCTCTATATAGATGGTGTCATAACATATTTATTTTTTCTGCCATCTGTTTCTTTCCTCAGCATTGTTTGTGAGAGTCATCTATACTAAGCGTGGCCTGACTATATCACAATTTATGGATCTCGTCTTCTGGCGATGGTATTCAGGTTGTCCCCAGTTTTTAGCTAATAAAAAGGTAGTGCTCTAAACATCCCGTGCACATCTTCTGGAGCACACATAGAAGAGTTTCTACAGGGAAATGGTTCTTGGTTCTGCTAGCACGTGGAGTCATCTGGGGAGCTTTACAAAATCCTAGAGTCAAGGCTGGGCCCCAAATTGATTAAACCAGAATCTCTAGGGGTGCATCCAGCATGAGTGTGTGTAAGCTGGCCAAGTGATTCCAATGAGCTGTCAGTGGTGACCACCACTGCTCTGGACCAGTGTTCCTCAGGGTATGTGGTCCTCCAGCCAGCAGCCTCATCTGGGAACTTGATAGACGTACATGCTCGGCCCCTGGCCCAGACTCGGTGGGTGAGAATCTGTTTTAGCCAGACTTCAGGTGATTGCACGGCACCTGCAGGCCAGGTGCATCTTCATCTACAGGTATTGCCACATGGCAGCTCACGATGGTGGTGGCCCACCGCACGGCTGTGGTTTTATGTCACTGTGCTCGGCACTTGGTGGGTTCTTGCTCTGTGAAAGCTCCTTTCCTTCAGTCCTAGGAGATATTCTTGTATCATTTCTTCTACAATTTTCTCTCCTCTCTTTTCTGTTTCTTGGCTTGAAATTCCTATTAGTTGGAGGTTAGACCTTCTGCATGGATCTGATGTTTTGGTTGTCCAATGGTCCTGACTTTTCTTTGTTTCGGTGTTTTACCTTCTGGGAGATTTTCTCACATCTTCCATCCCTTCTAATGCCTTTAAAAATTTCTGCTATTATATATTTTTTAAAAATTTTCAAGAGCTTTAACACTTCCTTTTAAAAAATGACACTCTCTTCCTGTTTCATGGGCAAATATCTTCAGAGGACTGTTCTCTGACCCCTTTCTTCTGTGTACTGGAGTTGTTGGTTTTGGTCAACTGCTGGTGCCCCTGGCTGTTGCCACTATGACTGTAACACAACAAAGCTAACAGGAAGCTCTGTACATGTGGGTAGGGCTTGGGAATGGGAGCCTCATAGTGGTGACTGGGTAGAGACTGGGGAATTGTCAATTTCAGGATCTGTCAGTCTTTTCTCTTTGCTCAGTTTCCCAGAGAGAAATTCAATAATGTCCTGCCTTGGGGTGGCTGGATGGGAACAGGCCCAGCTGTCAGCAGAGGAAGGGGGCTGAGGTCTCCCCATTAACCATCGCTTCACCCCAGCCTTTGGCTGGTCTTGGGGTTCCCAATCCGGAATCCTTCTAGTTCAACCTTGGCCAGCTGTACACCTGTCTTCTACCAGGATCAGAGAAGGGCAGTCACGTGCAATCTGGGCTCGGGTCTAACCACTTCTTCCAACCGATACTATTTTCACACCATCTTTGAACTCCTGCCTTAGGGATACCCGGTCCCTCCATGTTCTGAGCATCTGGGGGATTCTGCAGAGAAAATGGGCTTGTTAAGGGTTGCCAGCTCCCTTAGACACTTTGGGGAGTGGGGGAAGCTGGCACTAAACAAGTTATACTCTTCCAGCTTCCAAAGTTTTCAGACCTCTCTTACCTGCTGCCATCTTTGCAGTTCATGCCATTTTCATTCCTTTATGTCATTTTGGTGGGGTTTGGGGAGACAGAGGAAATACAGATGTGTTCAGTCCACAGTGTTTAACCACAAATCCTTGCCCATTTTACACGCGTTTTGACACATTTACATGTAAGTTCATATGACTCATTTTGATCATTGTACTTTTTATTTTTACTTAGATGGCCTTGTTTTTCCCATTCAACGTTAGGTTTGTGGGCCCTTCTAACCCACGCAGATCTAGCTCATTCCTTTTACTGCGGCTTAGCAAGCGTTCCAGCAACCAATGTACCACATTTTTTCCATCCATTTCTCTACTGATGCATCTCAGAAACACAAGTGATTGTGGCCTTTTGATCAACACGCTGGCTCAATGCAAATTCTAATCTTTATTGTTTTTATTCTGAAGCATAACTTGTCACAGGGAAACAGTGTTTTTATTACTTTTTTTTTTTTTAACTGTCTGCCAGCGACTAGGGCAAAAGAGCTAATGGTGGGGGCCTGAGAGCCTGGAGAAGAAGGCCCTTCGAGGACCAGGCCCGGGGTGGTCAGGAGGGGGGGTGTGGACGCCATACACACAGAATCACGCATTCTCTCTCCTCCAGGAAAGGTTTTCCAGAAGCGTCTGCCCACACTTTGAATTAAGTGTTTTTCTGCCAAACTGAGCCTACTGAAGGGGAGTGGATTAATGGCTTAGGGAGCTTCACGCCCAGCAGGGGGCTCAGCTGAAGGCTGCTTGCTCTCCAGTGAGTGAATTCACAGTGTTCACCAGAACCCTTTCCAGCTCCAGCAGCCCTCGGGGAGGCCAAGGAGGGCTTCCAAGAAACCTAACAGAGAGCCAGGTTCAACAGCAGCTCCTGCGCGGGGAGGGAGGAGGCCGCATCCACGTTCAGAGCCGCAGGGGAAGGGGGAGGATGGGTGGATCTCTCATCCCACCTGCTCTGGGTTCCTCTCCGGGGGCCACGCTCAGGTGTGAAGGGTCACGCTCAGGCTCTGATTTCTTTTTCCATGAATACAAATATGGAGAAAGCCCTACCTGGCACCCTCTGAAATTGCAGTGCATAGGGGAAGGCCCCAGAAGGTGGGTCAGAAGGCCCTTCCAGTCCAACTAAGACGAGAGCAAACTTAAAATGAACATAGGGGTAGACTGGGGGTGGGGCTGGGGGCAATAAATAAAGGTCACGGCTGAGGGGAGTGACTGGGGTGGCGGTGGAGAGGGGGGCTCCCAGGAGAGAAGGGGTGCAGAAAGGCACTGGGTTGGGGGAAGCAGACTCAGCCTTGCAAACGCTGGTTTGTTGAGTCAGAGGTCACGTCCGACAGGGCTGGTGGTGGAGGGCCCTGGGACTGGTCAGGAAGGAGCCGGGTAGGGTCTGGCTCCAGCGCTTTCTCTCTCTCTCAAGCTCTTCCACTGGAAAGTCTGCCCCACGCACCAAGCACGCCTCTGCTCAGGGCAGGCAGAGGGGACCGTCGGAGCCCACGTCAGCAGCAGGGGCTCGCCCAGGTGTGCCTTCTACCTTTGGGGGAGAGAAAAAAAGGCCACTATAGGGGGAGCAGAGGCAGAGTCCCACCCCAGTGACAGTGTGAGCTTTGGGAATGAAATTCAGGGAAGGCTGACTCCTTGCTGAAGCGGCCTGCACCTGAAGCAGCTGCCCCGTCTGAAACTAAGCAGGGGGCTGCCCGGGAAGGCCGGCGGCTGAGTGCTGGGCAGGGGGCACCTGCATGCTGGGCCCAGCCCTGCTCCGCTGTGCTGTGTCATTGCAGGCAGGTCGCCCAGTCCCTGGGCTTCAGTGTGGCCATCGATACCTGGGCTAGTCAACACAGGTGATCTTGGGATGCCAGCAGGAGCAAATGGACATGGGAACATACAACCTTCCTCTAGGCCAGTCCTTTCCAAGTAACAACTTAAGCCCTGGAACCCTGTCTACGTGCTGGGCCACACAGCCTGCCCCGTGATTACTGGACAGTTCCTGAAGACCCACTCAGGTAGGTACCCCACACGGACCCTGGACCTTACCCTCCCTGCAACCTGCAAGGGACACGATGTGGTCCCCATTTCAGTGATAATGGAACTGGGCACTGAGAGATCAAATATTAGGTTGAATCTTACGGATTTGCCAATATTTAACCGTTTTTGATCTACAAAAATGCAATTTCATGTGGTTCGACCTGATGGTTTGCCCAAGTTCCCATGGGTATGGGTGGCAGGGCTGGGACTGGAGCTTGGGCCTGCTTGATTCCAAACCGCCCTCCCTGGGGGGATTGCAGGAGGCGAGGGTAGGGGGGAGAGGGTGCACGCCCACGGCGCCTCCCTCCCTGAGACCTGCCCACCCAGCGTCACAGTCTGTCTCTGTCCCTCATGACCATCAAGAGGGGAAATGAGGGAGGAGGAGGGAGGGGAGGGGAAAGGGGAGGGGAGGGGCGCTCCCACAGGGTTTCCTGGGGGGTACTCCCCAGCCCAGCAGGCCTGCAGCCGTCCCCGTGCGCAGCAGGGGCACCAGCTGCTGCGCTGACCCACGCAGTGTGCGCCATGGGTCCTCTGGTTGTAGACGCACTAAGTCCAGCTGGGGCTTCTTTCTGGAAGGAGGCTGGGCGCCGATCGTGCACCTGCACAATTTTCTCCCGCTTGAGTGCGAGGACTCCCCTGTCCCCCAAGTGCATGGTGACCTCAGGTTGGCCGGGGCCGGTGGGAGCTTGGACTCTTGCCCTCGGCTTCCACACCCATCACATGGGGATAATGAGCCTCCTGTCTATTTGGCCAAGAGAACGAAAGTTGACCTTGGAAGTGCAAGGACAGGCCGGCCTCCATGCCGTCAGCTCTAGGGGTCCTGAATCCTCCCTCTTAGGATTTGGGCCTGCCCTGGCCTGGGCTCTGTTTTGGGTGAGCTGATTTGCCTTCCTCAGCTATGCAGTAGGTTTCTGGAGGTCAGGGACTGTCCCCCACCACACCCGGCCCAGGCTGGGCACGCACTGCCTGGAGAATAGCAGGTGTTCTGAAAACAGAGTTACTGTGACTGTTAGGCAGGAAGGGAGATGCTCTGAAAAATTATACATTTCATAAAGCAGAGGATGGAAACAGCCATTGTTACAGTTACTGAGAACGGATAGGGACAGTCACCACTGTCCTTTGGGGTCCCTCTTTCTGTTCATTGTGGGCACGGATGGGTCTGGCTTGCCTCTGTTCGACGGGCACCTGGCACAGGGCTCAAAAATGCAGAGAACTGAAAACCCCCCCCGGGGGGGCGCAGATAGAGAGGAGGTGGGTACGTTGGAAGGAGGAGCTTGGTACTCACTGTGGCCTTTTGGGTCCGGCCTGGGTGGGGCCCCCACTGTGGGTCCGCAGAGCCGGTCCCGTCTCGATGGCCAGGCTGCTCTGGCTCCCTGAGAGGTGGCTGCGTGGGCGGGGAGGCCCCATCTTTGATGACTCCACGCTGCCACCTGCAAGAAACCACATGAATGGTTCAGGGCTGCGTCCTTTGGGCCTTGAACCGAGACAGGGACCATCTCAGCCTGACAAGGAGCTGAGCTGAAGTCTCCTCATTTGGAACTGTGACCTGTATCGATGGGACCGTCTGCCAGAGCCCCTTCCCCTGGGAACCGCCACCCCCTTTCCCCATCCACGTGGCTGCCATGTTCTAGCGGGACCCCACCCTCTGGCCACTGCTGACTGGCCCACAACCTACAAAGGCAATCGAATGGGCCCTGAGGTCATTTCACTAAGGAACAAGTAGTTACCCACATGAAAACTGGCAGTGAGGACGAGTCTGCCCTGCCCTCGGAGAAGGAGGGTGTCGTGGAGAAGCGTGTAAATTTCTGTGAACCCAATAAGAGGGACATTCACGGCTGCCTCTGCAGACTAATGAATCCTCACTCAGACACGGTTGTTAGCCCCTGCCCGGCCCAGAGAGCAGCGGTGGGGCCTGCAGACTGCACTCCATCTTTCCATCTCCTGAGCCGCTTGGCTGCAGCTGAGAGCCAGTGTGAAGAGAGGGGACACGAGCTGCGGTAGTGGGAGGTGAGGAGTATAAAACGTGCCCTAGCAACCAAGGCTGGCAGGTAAGTGTCCTCCACGCTTTCCTAAGACAGAATCTGCAGCCTGAAGGGGCCTAAGAGATCATCTAGTCCAGGGACAGTTTTCACCTCATGCAGCATCCCCGCCTACTGATACTGGTCCCTGGGAAAACTGCATGGAGGAGGATTCCGAAGCCATGTCAGGCTCTGTGGGAGAGAGTGCCGGGATCAACTGGTAATGTCTGCCATGGGCACAGGAGTGCCAGGCATTGGCATCTCTGACCTAGTCCAGACTGCCGCCCCCCGCAGGAATTCCTTCCGTATCAGTTCCGGCCGAAGATCACCCAGCCTTCCATTTCCTTCCAGTTTGAGGCAGTTACTGAAAAGCTTTCTTCTCAGGTATTAAATTCAGCCTGAAATGTCACGCAAGTATCCCAGTTCTAACCTTTGGAGTGACTCTGAATGAAGCTGGTCCTTTTCCTGGGAAGGTCCTTCATGTGTCTAAAGGAAAGGAGTGGAAAATGTGTCCCCAGGCCTTCTCTGCATATATACCTGAGCTTCCCTTCCATATGTTTTTTTTTTTTTTTTTGGCTGCTCTACACAGCTTGTGGGATCAGTTACCTGACCAGGGATTGAACCCGGCCCATGGCAGTGAAAGCCGGAATCCTAACCATAGGCCGGCAGGGAACTCCCCTTTCTATCTGTTCTTGAGTGGTGCTAACACTTTAGCTCCTAGCCCTCCCAGCTGATGGCCCATTTTGCCTCCCGGATCTAGAACAAGTTCACAGACCCAGCCACTGGGGAGCCACGGTAGCCTGTGGAAGCAGCAAAGCCACTGCCCCGGGGGCTTGGGAAACAAACAGGGCTGCTTCCCACACTTACCTGATTCCCCCCAGGGTCTGTCGCTTTTCCGGTCCCTGACCCCAGTGGGTGGGAGTCTGTCCTCCAGGCTGGAGGAGCTGAGCTCTGAGTCACTGTCACTGTCGCTGGAAACCACTGGAAAAGAGATACCAGCACAGGAGGTCACCCCCACTGGCCACCACAGGCAGGCGTGTCAGACAGAGGGGACCAGGGCAGGCCTCTTCCTTCCAGGACAAAGTGGCATAGGACCTCCGCCGGCCCTGGTGTTTGGGGCACGGGGACAGTGGTCCGGGGATAGGGATGGCAGGGTACTCCTGTCAGTCAAAGAGGTGAGTCCCGGTGCGAGGAGGCGGGGACTCGGGGGTGCGGTGCCCAGTATGACCAGCACCGGCAGGGAGGGCTCAGTCCTCAGGCAACCATCTCCACCCATCACCCCTTCCCTGTGGCTGAATCAGAACCCTCTTGCTGGGAGGAGCTGATTACCCCCTTTGGTGCGGGCCCAACTGCACCTGGCAACATTTAAAGGTGCCCGGCCATGCTCTGCAGGGATAATTCCAGTCCTCGCTGACCCTGATGGAGGGCTCCAGGCCCCTGACATACACTAACTCAAGGAAGCTTCAGAACAACCCTGCAAGATAGGAAATAGCATTGTCCCCATTTCACAGGCAAGGAAACCGAGGCCTTTGCCCACAGTGGGATTCTTACTCTGGCGGGCTGGCTCCACAGCCTGTGTTTGTAACCACTCTGATTCCACCAGAAGAACTGAACTGGGAGCCGGCAGGTCTGGGCTCTCATCCCAGCTCATCCAGCAACTGCCAGTGGGGTCTTGTGAATGCAGAAGGAGCATGGCTGGTGGGGCTGGAACCCCAGGAGAGGGAAGGGAAGGGGAGGGGGAGCTCCCACAGTGAGCACCTGCTGTGGTGGAAACCCTCTTTTCTGGACTAAATGCAACCATATTTGGCTGGTTAGTCAACAGTGGGAGTCATAATACAGGATCTGTTCATACACTAAACTCCATTTTAATTTTAAGCATAGAAATGTACATCCATTTGCCAATCTTTTTTTTTTTTTTTTTTTTTTTTT